AGCTGTCCTTGGGTGCATATTTGCTGGGTGGATTTCAGATGGCTGTGCTGTCTTATAGTTACACTCATGGGTGTCTTTAAGGCTTATATAAGTACGGGTTTTCTTTCTTTCAATCCATCCAAGTAAAAGAGCAACAGCGCATAAAGGACTTTGGTAGGCAATGAGGTGCTGAAAGATTGCTGTTAAATAATTACTGGATCTTTAATCATTGACTAAAATGAAATGATCAGTACAGCATCCAAGCAAAAAAGAGAACACAATGAGGCAGGGATTTTATTTCTTTTCTTTGATTAGAAGGGAAGCAAAATGCAATCCTTCAGGTATTGACAGACACGAACCTCTTAAGTTCTGAGGGCCCAGCTGTCCCCAGGGAGGGTGGCCAGCATCACTGCAAACAGCTCTTTGGAATGAGTTTATCTCTGAGCTCCCTAAGGAAGTGTCAGCTTCCTCTCCACCGCGCTCCCCCACAGCACCTTGACCAGTCCAGTGAAGGAAACAGAGACTCCTGACTGTGGGATTGGCTTTATTGTGTTTGTATGTTCTATTGTTTCACAGATTCGAGTGATTCCATATGTAAAAACAGAAAGGAGATGCAGTTGCATATGCAAAATGAAATGGTCTAACACTCAGAGGTATGGATTTGTAAAACACGAAAGGACATCATTAAAGCTGATCTGGCGTAAACTGGGCTCACTGCCCCCCCCCCCCCAGAGCATCCATGCCACTCAGTGTGAGATTTCCAACGCGCACCAAACAGTAGCTCAGCCTTGAGAAACGCGAGTCACTATTCCACCAAGGCAGAGTCAGGTATAGGACACACATCAGTGTCACAGTACAGTGATCAGATGCGGAGGGATACATGGCAGGAAACTGAGGCTTGATCCAGACGCCGGCAAGGGCATGCCGCTGGGATTTACAAGGAGTGGGGCTGTTTGCTTGTAAAATCTGCATGTGATTTGGGATTTTAGTCTTCATAACCTTCCCTTGAATTTCACTAAGTGGTATTTTGGAGTGGGTTCTTTTGGATTCGAGAGGTCTGTTTACCAAAGCAGCCACTTTGTAACTTACAATTCCATGCCACCGCACAGAAATAATTCTTCAAAAATAGATCCAAGTTGGCTGGTGTCCTGCCTTCCTCTCCCGAATGCTATTGAATACCCCGTCAGCACACAAACCGGCTTCCTCTTGTGATCTGGAAGTTTGTTTTTGTAAAAAGCCCCTGACACAGTCATACTTCCTGTGATGATTTGTTTTAATATAACATCCTTATTCTTAAGATTTCATTGCTGATGAAAAAAAGGTAGTTAAATTACAGAGATGAAAAAAAACCCACTGCATTTCTTTGAACTCCCCTCCATTTGCCTTCTTGGAAACTCTTTTTAAATAATATTAAGGACATCTGTGCTAGTAACGATACTAGTAATAGTAAGCTGAGGAGTCACATTTCTTAGCTCAGAGTCAACAACGTCTGACCTTTTTTCTTTCTTTTCTTTGTCTTTTTTTTTTTTTTTAGGAAATAGCTACTCTATAATCAATTGGAGTGGCTAACTTAGAGTCTAATTTTGAGCAAGTTCTACCACTGACTTGAATACTTTTAGCTCTCTTAAGGGGGTGGGAAGGTTTGGATACTAGATAGAATTTGGTCTCAAATAAAGACCATAGCTAAGTACTACGTCATGAAGTGGGAGCTGCTACTCAAGAAGTTTGCCAACAGGTTCTCTAGACTGACTCCTTCTGCATCAGCTTTGCCCATCCAGGGTCAGCCAGGAGCACAAACCCTTGGCCTGGTTCTCCCACAAGGGGCTGGGAAGAAGGGCTCCGGTGCACCGTGCACTCTGGGCCTCCCCTGGATGCACAGGCTCCCACAGATGGCATCCTGCTCCACGCTGCACAGAAGGTGTCCAAGACCCCCTGTTTGCTTGCAATTTACTCATACTAATGGAGCAAGTCAAGAAAATGTCCTATATTTTCTAGAGAAATATCCTTTCTCTACTACCAGTGACATGAAAACTGTCACTTCCTAAGAAAGGGATATTTATGTTTGGCTCTTATGTGAATATTTTCTGTAAGGCTGGCAGAGCTAACAAATTAATATTCAAGACCAATGAAATTGGACAAAAAATTGTTCCGCTTATGCAATTTTGTGATTCATTGATAAAAACGACATTTAGAACCTCATCATAAAGTCCACACGGAATGCAGGACACAAGTCAGTAAGCAGGACACGCCTTCCACGCCCAGCACAGCTGGTGTTCCTCGTTCTGGGATCCTTTTCAGGGTCATGAGGCCCCCACATACACATACAGCATCTTTGGCTTTTATACACATGCACCAATGACGTTCTTAACTGCATAGTCAACTCCTGTAGTTAGGCATTAACTCTCAACTCTAATCGAAAGCTGTTTCTCTGTCTTCTATTTTTACACACCAGCAGCACACTAATGGAAAAATAAAAACTCCTGCCCCAGTTTTGGATTGTCTATCTAAACGTCTACACGTTACTCATTTGAACTGAGGATTTTCAAGCCACAGGGCTCGCTGACCGGGTGGAGTGAGTAGCCAGGGCGAAAACCAGCGGGCCAAGTGCCAAGCTGAGAGGAAGCCAAGCCCCACAGGAGAACCGAGAGAGGATGAGAATGGAGGGAAAGGGCTGGAGCTTTCGTACTGTCTCATGTTTCTTTTTTATAAAGCATTTCGCAGAAGTAATTTTGAGGGGGGAAATTGGACTAAAATCATCAGTATTTCTTAAAGATTAGGAAAATGGGCTCTCCTGGGACACCAGAGGTCTAGAATGACACTGTCTGTTGTCATGCAACACCGAGTGGCCAGTTTTTCCCTGCAAAGAAGTTCTTCACCGGGAGAAGTGAATTGATGTACAAGCTAGTTGATCGAACATTTTTGCCTTTCTTATTCTGAAAACAAAGATTTTGTTTTAGATTCTTTAAAAGAAAATCAAACCCACATAACAACAATAAAAACAGTTTACTGACAAACACTAATGCCTCAAGAAGTTAACTCTTTCATTCTTTAAAATCCCAGTTTAGTTCTAATCACAACATTTCAGTGCAAATTCTAACTCTGGAAACTCTTAACTCTGCTCTCAGACACTGGAGTCTGACAGCAGACAGGTCGTGCTCACTGTGGTCCAGGGACCTCAGGTTTGGCTGCTTGGCAGGTCACTCTGATTAAAGATAAACTGAGATTCCCAAAGGGCAAAATGTATGCAGTGAATCCACAGGATGTGAAATGTTAAGCTTTGGACCTTCAAGTGTAGATTTTCTTCTCAGGGGAAGAAAATTCAGAGCACCGTGGACTCATCCAGGGTCAAAAGCTGGATTTTGAGTGCACAGTTGGAAATCAATGCTTGAAATGCTAATACCTTTCATTACAAAAATCCCACCCCACCAAGCTATGATAAGATAACCTGGATTCAAAGCTAGGTATTACAAATGTCTAACAAACAAGCAAAGGAAAGCCAAGCAAGAACAAAGCCAAGACTGAGAGACTAGAAGTGTTCCTGACACCACGTGGTCAAATGTCTGACCCTTAGGCCGCAGTGACGACACACAGAACCAAGCCCAAGGACAAGGGTGACTGACCCTTTATGGAACTACCAATGCATAGGCCTTGTGCCTTCTTCACTTCATTTTTCTATTTTCTTCTTTCTCCAGACGATGTCTGAGAACTGAAGGTCTAAGCAAGGGAGAAAGAATAGTATTGTGATCGAAGCGTCTATATAGGTTTATATACCTTAATTTACATTTCAATGGTACTGAAATTCACAGTCAATTAAAATTGAAAGCTAAATCCAAAGAGTTGTTTAAGTTCATTTAAATCTACAGTCCACTCATTCCTGGCATTTTCCCCTTTTAACCAGTTAATTTTAATTTCTGGAGCCTCTTCTCTGTGTTGTGACAGCCCCACAAATGGGAAAGGGGGTCCCTATGTGCCCCCCACAAAAGGTGGCTCACTGTGAAGGTCAGTGAGTGAATCTTTGCTACGCTTCCAAGCCCATTCATTGGCTACTGCGGACCATGTATGCACAGAAATAAGAAAGACACCACCTTGTGGTTTCTCAACCAGAACATGGCATTTTTGGATGGTCTCTCTGAGAAGACCTGGTGCATGGAAAATACTTCAAAATGCAAAAGCTTTTGGGGGTCAAAAGTGCTCCATGAGAATGGCTTCTCCTCAGCTGAGGGCAGAGTGTGGACCTGTTTTCGCCAGAAGACCGTGTCCAGACAGAACCACTCTGCCGCCGGAGTCTTTCGTCAGCCTGTAGGTGTGAGAGCATTTTGTACGAAGTGATACCAAGTGAGCGTGCCTGGGACAGGCCAAGTTTTAAACCAGTCACAGCATCAGAGTCATGTAGTAAAAATTAGGCTAGATGATTTATTGACTTACACAGGTATTGGCTTTGAAGACACTGTGTATTTATTTTGTGTGTGGTGCAAAAGATCAGGTGCTCAAGCCTCCCAAATTTGGCTGAGATAGATATGCTAAGTGGACATGAAAAAGATTTCTCCATTTCGTGCTACATCATGGTACTATATGCAATATAAGTATGTAAAATCCTAACCTTGGTCACATTCAAATGAACATTGATGGAAATACTGGGAGCAGAATTGGATAGTGCGACAGGAAACCTGTAAGCATGCCCATGTCACCATCCTTCTGTTGATTATACCACGATATACAATCAAAAATCACAGAGAACAACAACACCTAACTACATGTAATTTTTTAAGATCTAAAACAACCTGCCAGGAAATTATCAACAGAAGAAGGAAAGAACTTCCTGAATAATTAAAGACAAAAACCTCTTGTGCATTGAGAACACTTTCTAAGCTTTTACAGCTTCAGACCCCTCCGTTAGATAGACGGGCAGTCCATCTCAGAGGCGTTGGCCACATTTTCTGTTAATGAGAATAGGGCAGCGTCAAGAGATGGCCAGGCTTGCCAGAGTCCACCTCATCAATTACCAACAGTCTGAATGAGTCCCCTGAGTCCCAGTGTCCCCAATCCTAGAGGAATCCCACAATTTCCACAACTGTGCTTCAAGAGCCAGTGTGCGAGTCCCTGTGTATATGTGCATGCCTGTGTGTACACATGTGGGCTCACGTGTATGTCCAAGCAGCACCTACACACTTACAGTCATATGCTTCTTGAGCAAATACACAAATCCATCCCATTTTGAATGAAATGAGAATTCACCTTTTGTGCATTTAGCCAATCCTAGCCCATTTATCCCCTGCAGCAGAGAAATACAGGGTGCCTGGTATCTAAATTCTGCTGAAGGCAAAGTGTTACTCTGTAACACTGAGTTGCACAAGATTTGTTTAAATACTGAGGACATCCTTGACATGTTATCCGATGACCGGATTTTGCTCATGCTTCCCAGACCCATCTGGGTATGAATTCCCCTTGCAATTCCTGTTTTGCGGGACCATTCAACTTTCCAGATTTCAACATCCGAGCAAATGTCTGATTCTTACCCAGCTTAATTTTTCTTTTGTTCTAACTCTTCTCCACAACCAGATACAATACTTAGCTGGAATGAGACAACCATTACTTGCAAGAGTTTTATTTTGCTCTCAGAATGTCAATGGCACTTCCTCTGGGGACAAGGCATCTTAACAGATAAGGAAAGAAGTGGCTGAAAGGAAGTGTGGTTCATAAGAATGAACTACAGGAAGGACAGGTCCAGAGGCCACATGGACCTGGGACCCACAGAGTCCCACAGATTTTCAGAAGGTTCCTCGAACACACTGCCCAGAGAGGAGTTTTTCAAACTCATTTGTACACAAGTCACTTGGGGAGTCCTAGTAAGATACAAACTCTGATTCTCTAAGTTGGGTGTGGCTGGGGTGTCTATACTACTAATAAGCCCCTAGATGGAGCTTGATACTGCTGGTCTGTGGTCCACATTTGGAACAGAAAGGGCATGTTCCAACAGAAAATGAGTGTGAACAAATAGCCTCAGCTCCATTGGTGTATGTCTCCACCACCCTTAACTCCTGATTGATCGATTTTACTCTACACAATTCAATCCACTGGAAAAAAGGTAACAATGGAATTATTATATTCTGTGAGTACAAAATATATCCCCCTGCCCCATTTTCTGTATTACCAGATAGCCTCCAGTATATATAACATTTTCTCTGCCTGAGGGAAAAAAAAGTGTTTTAAAGCAATGATATAGTGAATATCAAAGTGAACCACATTTCAAGTCTCAGCCATAATGTCTTTGATAGTTGGGTTGAATAAATACCTTATGTTACAGCTGCTACCCTTATGCAGAAAGGCATTGCCATTCACTGTCAGCATTGCTGAATGTCTCTCTCCATCCAACAGGACATTTTTGCAAGTGCCATGCACCAAGGTCTTCGAAATGTAGCCCATTTTAGAAAATTCGAATTTTGAGAGTTTGTTTCAGACAAAGCATTTAAACAAGGAACCCTCTTAAAATTGGAGACTCTTGTTTAGCCACCAGATCAAAGGAAAAGATAGATTTTGCACATTTGCACAGTTTGGGTTTTTTTTTTTTTTTTTAGAGTGCATCCACACATTTTTGGTGGAAAGGAACTCAGGTATGGAAACCTTAGCAGAGTGAAACTGAAGCCATGGTTCTACCATTAGACATTGCTCTGTTGCAACAAAAGTGTTCTCAGTTCTCTTTCCCGCTGATCCTCCTGCCTGTACTTCTCCTCCAGTTTCTGCTTCTCGGAGTCTGTACAGTAAAACGTGCAATCGGAGCTCTTCCGGATCTGCTCAAACTGACTAAAGTCGGCCACGTACTTCCCGTTTTTGGAGAGAGAGACCACGGGCACAAACTCAAAGCCCCAGTAGATCTCCTCGGGGACGTAGGATGTGCGGCTCTGGCAGACGGCGCTGGTGGACTCCACGGTGGCATTGAGGAGGACCACGAGTTCGAAGTCCTTCTCCTTCAGGTTCTGGGGTGTGAGATCTCTCAGGGGGCTGGTCTCGTCCAGCACGTGGTAGAATGTCAAGGGCAAAATGAGGAAGGGGCTCTCAGAAGAGGAGTCCACATGGAATTTGACGGTGGCCTGGTTGAGGAGGATCCGCTCCCCCTCCTTAGTGACGTGGGTCTGGAGGAGCTTGCCAGAGAGCTGGCATTGAATGAGCAGACTCTTCCGCATGTTGGCCACCTGGATCACCAAGCACAGCTTCCCATTCTGCTTGGTGATGACAGCACAGTGGCTGAACTTGATGGTCTCTGCCCGCTTCTTGGGTCTGGCGATTTTGGCCAGGAAGGTGCCCGTGATGAAGATCTCAATCAAGGTCGTGATGACCAGCTGAGCCACCAACAGGAAAATGGCATGAGGGCATTCCTCTGTGATAGAGCGGACACCATAGCCTATGGTTGTCTGGGACTCCAGGGAGAAGAGAAACGCCCCCGTGAGAGAGTCCACTTTCATGATGCAGGGAGTGTGATTTGAAATGGGCTCACTCACCTCTAAGTCCCCGTGAATGAACGCGATGGCATAGTAGATCACTCCAAAAAGAAACCAGGTCATTACAAACGTGGCGGCAAACAGGGTGAGCTTATACCTCCACTTCATGTCGATCACCGTTGTCCACAAGTCTTGAAGGTAGAGTAAGTATATGCCGTCCACTTTGTCGATTCTCACATTGCTGTGTCCACTCTTGGACATGACCCGAGGTCTGTGGGACTTGAGTCCAGGTCCGGCTGTGTGCTTCACCAGGGGAGCGCTGGACATGCTGAGGCGCATTGGGTCCATCAGCAGGCTCTTGGGACCACCTGAGGAAATGACAAAGAAGGACATATTAGTATTGTCACAGGTGGTAGGACATCCAGAAAATGCAACCAGGATATCCATGTGACATAAGTATGAATGCACGTGACATACACAGGAAAGGACACTTCTATAGGCAAGACTGATTGACTTGAAGTTGAGGAAATGAGGAGCATAGACCCTGGAGACAAGCAAACCTGGCTTACATGCTGGCCTTCCAATGTATTTGCTGTGTGAGCCAGGATAAGCTATTCAACCTCTCTGGTCTCTAATCTGTACAATGAGAAGAAAGCCTCTGTCTCAGGGGTTTTGTAATAGTTAAAGGAGACAAGGGCCATAAAGTGCCAAACCAGAGCCTTGCAGTTAAACAGCGATGCTCATCTTCCCATTGCATTATCACACTTGCAGGCACTTGCCCCACAGAGTATTGTAAATATTTATGTACATTCAGGTACCATAGATTTCCAGTTTTAGAAAATTTAAAAATGAGTTGATTGAGCATACAGTTGGTATGGATACAACTAAAATTTACCATCCACAAGATTGGGCTGTTTTTTTTTTTTTAAGAAAGAGAGTGAGAGAGAGGGAGAAAGAGAGGGAGAGAAACATTGGCATGAGAGAGGAACATTGACCAGTTGCCGCTCGTACACACAATGACTGGGGACTGAACCCGCAGCCTTGGCACATGCCCTGACTGGGAGACAAACTGGTGACCTCTCACTTTCTGAGATGACGCCCACCCAACTGCATCACACCAGCTGTAGCCATAAGATAGTTGTTGACAAGCGATAGAGACTGCTAATACAAATTTTGTCAACTTGGACAGTATTAATACAATTTTTCAGAACTTACCCTTCTGCATGACATTTCCCATAACAGCAATTTATTTTGCCCCTAATCCAATGAATAATTTAGAATCCATGATCTCTCCTAGTCTTGATTACATTGGAAAAGACTGAGTTATCAAAAACCTCCAACAAACACATAGTGAATGATTAAACTTGATTAATGGCTTCATGGATATGCTGGTTATTCTCAGGTACCATCCCCACACCCTGTTAGGCATGACATTTAGGCATGGCACACAAACTCAGCCTTACTTCTTCAGAACTACGTCGGACCAGCAGAGAAATGCATTTGAAATAGTTAACAAACAAGCAAACACACACAGGCTTCGGGGAGGGCAGACCTACCAGGAACACGGGCCCGGTTCCCACAGGCTTCACAGGCAGGGCCAAGCTGGGAGCGAGGCCACCCGGCCTCTTATAGTACCTGCCTGGTGACCGAGATAAATGGCCCCTACATTCCTTGGAAAGATAATAGGACTGATTAGAGGGAATTCTACCTGGTTGACATGGTTTGTTTTTCTTGTTGTTGCTCCCACCTACTGGCATGTAAAAAATTTTTTTTTAATTTTCTCCTATAAAAAGGAACTGGTGTGCAGTGGTCTATGATTCATGCAATAAGCTTCGCTGGCTGAGCAGTGTTACCCCAATTAGGAGCTTGGAAAACAATCCTCTGGGCAAACCCCTTCAAGGAAAGTGAAACCGTGTCCTTCACGGGGCAACACTTGAGGACACAGGGTGTCTGCTGGGCTCCTTAGTTTTCCTGTTACAGTATCAAGAGTGTGCCATTTACTGAATGTCCCCTGGAATGATCTTTTTTTTTTCTTGGAAAAGCAAGTCACCTTTTTATTTTCATTGCAAAGAAGGACCATAAGTTACTCAGAACTTATTTTTCTCATTGAAGCCCATTCCGCTAATACTGGGATTGTTTAAAAGAAAAGCTCAGGGCCCTGGCTGGTTGGCTCAGTTGGTTGGAGTGCTGTCCTGTGCACCAAAAGGTAATCTGATTTCCAGTCAGAGCACACACCCAGGTTGCAGGTTTGATCCCTGGTCAGGGAGCATATGGGAGACAACCGATCGATGTTTCTCTCTCACATTGATCTCTCTCTCTCAAAAAAAAAAATCAATAAACATATCCTTGGGTGAGGATAAAAAAAACAAAAGACAAGTACAGGATATAATTGATGAGCATGGGTCTTATTAGACACTCAGCAGTACTCGTCAGTGACCAAGAGGAAAGAGACCAGGGTGACAGTTTGGAGACCATGCCACACTGGCACGCCCCAAGCAGAGTCAAGCTCAGGACTTGACTCTGACAAAGACAAGTAACTGCGTGCACTTAAAAAAAAACCTGCCAGGGAAAGTGCATGCCATGTAATCCACCGAAATCAGAGGCTTAAGTGCTCAAGGTGAGCGATGCACAGACGTTCTGCGGGGGCGAGCGCCGCCCCAGGCTCCCTGGGCCACCAGCTTCTGCCCAGTGGGCCCTGTTCACACTGGGCAGTGGCCTGAAGCTCCTGTTCTAACCTCTCTGGGAGGGGGGGGGACAGCGGGCCAACTGGGGGTACGCTGCTCTCGGGCCTCCCCCTGTGTTTCTGCACGGCCGTTGTTGGAGTTGACGACACCCATAGTGTCTCCCATCAGAGTCTGGTGAGCAGGGTGTGGGAAGAACCTCAGGGTGGGCCTTGAGTTTAGCATCTCTCCATGGAAGAGAGCAGCTGGTGGACAGCCCTCCACGGGCAACCCCTTCTCCCTCCCTCTCGACACCCTGTGCCCGCAGTTTGCTGCCCGGTCACTTACTCAGCAGGTCAGACGCCGTCTTCTTCAAGGTAGGTGGACCGTCCCGGCTCCCCTTCACCCACCTGGCTACCATGGGATTCTGCTGTCGCCTGAAAAAGAGAGGGACACGTGGGGTTCACAGGTGTTTCCAAAGCAACTGGTCCAGTAAAACTGACCCTTAACAATTCCCCCGAGGCCCAGGGCCCTAGCATTTATTTCCAATCCCTGGTCATCTGGCATGGTGCCAGAACAAAGGCTCAAAGAGTGTTTTAAGGACGAAATTGAAGCCCTCACTGCGGAATCCCCACCCTCTGGAGGGAGTGAGATCTCAAGCCACCCTGGCAAGAGGGTGAACTCACCCCCATTGAGGCCCACTGTCAACTGGCCGGCAAACAGGAGGCAGGAAGGGGAAGTGCAGCGGAAGTAAACAGTGAGAATTGGAGGGGAAGAGTCTAGAATATTTTTACCGCCTGTGGAAGTGCATTATTATTCTTGAGTCACAGAACATTAGAGTTGAAAGGATTGTCGAAACGGAGGCATCTGACAGACATTTTTCAAACATAGTCACTGAGACCTGGGAGGTTGGGATGACTTCTATTCATCACAGAGATGGTTTGTGGCAGAAAGAATGAGGCCCAGAGTGTGCAGAAGCCAGGCCATAGCGCTTCCACCCTGACCTCCAAAGTCTAACATGATCTGTGCGGAGACGGCAGGGCCTTTTACAGCTGCTTTCCTGAACTGCTTCTTCCTAAGCCACGCACACACACCAACACACATTCCTATCTGTCTGACCCGAAAGGGCATGTGTACACCTCACACTGCTTTTCTAATCCAGCAACAATTGTAAATAACTACAATAATTATGTTGATCGGTTAAGGAGTCCCAGCTATCAACCCGTATAGCCTCTTCTACAGTCAATTCTCTCCAGGTGTTCATATGTTTGGCCAACGGCCTCTTTCTTTGTCATTGCTCCGTCAGGAGGCAACATCGACCTTATTTGGTGCCTGCTTTATCATACACACTTTGTCCCACTCTTAAACACTACTTTATTCCTCAGCAGACTTCGTTGATGGCATTGATTTCATTGCTGATAGACACCCTTATTCCACATAATCTTATGTTGCTGCCTTTTCCCCCCTTTAGTCATCCTGCACTCTACCCTGGCTTCAATTCCAAAATGTTAAGGAACTATCAGAGCGTACCAAAGCTAAGGATGGGGGAATGATAAAGACGTTCTCTGCTATTTTCCCCTCTCCTGATCCCACAAGTAAGCAAAATCCCACACAAACCATTAGTAGTTTTCTTTACGCTTCGTATTAATTTCTCCCATTTGCATTATATTGTTCCAACATGTGGGTTAGGATTGCAATTCTTAGAATTACAATATCTTTGTTGAAGTCCTTGAAATTATTAAATGGAGAGATCAATATTACTCCCTCTTACGGCAAGCCAACAAAATGTACATGGCATGAGTCATTTAAGGCTCATGCGGTGTAGCATTCATTCTCTGGAGATAAAGGAAAGAAGAACATATTTTGGAAACAGAACTAAAGAGTGGGCATGCTGAAAAAGGTAATTAGCTGTAAGGAGAACTATACTCCCAGCGCTGGGAACAAAATGATGGGAATTGAAAAAAATGGAGAGCAGGTTACCATCACCAGCCTCAGAAAGGAACAAAATTCTGCCCGAGAAAAGGGCTCTTTTAAGAGCGGGTGATCAGAGAAATCAGCCAGAGCCAGCTGGAACTCGCTGTCCTGTCAGGGAGAAATCAGCCTGTACGTGGCCCGCAAGCCACTGAGCAAGTAGAAGAAATACAGATGCAAATAATAAGCACAAGTATCATCAAAACAGGGCCGGAAGTGGTCCAAAGTGGGAATGGTCCCAAGAGGGAAAGGTGACCATGAATAATAACAATGGCGCTGACAAAATGATAGAATAAAGACTCAAGTAATGCTAAAGCTCCAGATCAATGATAACCATCATCATCGTACAAAACGACACTGCAGGCCCCATGCCCGCTACTGTTCAAATGCTTTCCAGGTGTGATCTTAACCTTCACACCAACCTTGTGAGGCAAGCACCATCGTTGCTTCCGGGAGGGGGGAGCTGAGGCACAGATCAGTTCGGTAACTCACCCAAATTCTCAACAGCTGGCGTGTGATGGCAGCGCCCCCAGCAAGCTCCCCAGCCCCGGCTCGCCATCACCCTGACTCAGGTGCTCACGCCTAAGCGGCCTCAGAACCACCTGGAAGGCTCTGAGTTTCTGATTCGGTAAGTCTGGGGCGGAGCTCAAGAATTGGCATGTGTGACAAGTTCCCAGGTGATGCTGCAGCTTCAGGAATCCATGGTGAGAACCATCGGACATGCACGTGGTTAGATGGTACCGACAGTGTCTCCCCGGCCCCCCGCTCCCCTCAGCGTTCTGAACTAACACTATCGCACCCCTGCTTATCGGTTTTCAGAATGTCCGGTCTACACCATCTGCATAGACGAATGCCAACTCCCCAGTGGACCGATGCTAAGTATTAACTTTTTAAGTATTAAAGATTTTTTTTCCTAGTTGGTACAACACTGATACTTTCTAAAAATTGAAAGCGCTGTTGAGTCAAATTTTGGAAGTTTTCAATTTTCCTGTTCTGGGAAAAACTTCATTCTGTGTGCTATGGTGGGCGGACGAAATATCTGCATCCCCAGAAAAAATAAGGAACAGAAACTTTGGGGGAGGCAAACCTGGAGCTTCCCAGGCATCAGGCAAAGTCATTCTATGTGCCTCCAAACTGGGTAGTGAGGGTACGGGGGGAACAAGATTGGAATCAAGCCGGAACTTCAAATTTCTAGGCTAAAACTAGAAAATGTGGGGACCTGGCTTTAAAGCTCTAGTGAAACAGCTTCCTGTTCGTATGAAAAGTTGCTTGAAAAGCTTTCTTGGATGCTCCATATTCCTTACAAAACAATTTTTGGGTGATTTAAAAAAAAAACTTGTTATGAATCTAAAATACATGGATTAAACTTCCCTTTAAGGATACACAGGTTTAAATATTAAGTCGAAAAAGAAATGGTTGACAAGAGGTACTTGAGGTTCACTGAACTCAGAAGGTCTAAGAGTAATTGGAAATAAAGTCAGTGAGGCTCGTCTCCCTGCAGACCCTGTGACCACGGCTGTTGGCCCGCTGCCCCTCCCCTCTGCTCCTCAGACCAGTCCAGGACCCACTCCCGTGGCTGCTCTGACTGTCCTACAGCCACTTCTTGACTTCACCCATGGCAGCTGAGGACACAGATGGTTTGCCCAGGTGGCCTCCAGAACAAACACACTCACTGAGGCAGAACAAGGTGGCCGAAGGTGAGTCTCAGCAGATTCCAAAGGGTAGCCATTTACTTGCTGGGGAAATTACTCTTTCCTTGTGCAGGAGTGATTCTTCCCTCGGGCCGTGGAGGGCTGAGGGTGGCTGGCAGGGGACAGCTTCCAGAGGCCGTGGAATCAGTCATCATTCTCCCCCCCTGGGGGGGGGAGGGGGAGCACCGTCTGAGATGACGGCACATTCCCCACCTGGTTCCTTCTGTCCCGATGATCCCTGCTTTGAAGATGTGAACTGGGACCTGTGGGTACAGCTGTCATCATTGTGTGGCCATGGCTGACTGCTTGTTGCTGCCAGTTACTGGCTGCCAGGGGGGGTCCATCCACAGAATCCCCCGTGAGCTCACTCCTGTGGGAGAGCGTGTCCTCACCCTTTTGAGTCTGATGTGGTCGTGTGACTGCTTGGCCAACGGACTGGGACCCACGGTGACTCACACCACACCTGAACAGAGGCGTCAGGGCACTGTCTTGGGTGAGCTTCAGTTGGGCTGTTCCTTCTTCTGGGGGGTGAGAGGAGGGGCCACTTGGAGCTGAGCTACAGCTGAACCAAAGCGGACATGTAACATGGGTAAGAAACAACTTTTGTTGCCAGTGTAAGTCATTGAATTCTTGGAATTGTTTGTCACTGAGACAAAGCCTCGTAAAAGCCTGTCCGCAGACACACCCTTTCTGCATTTTTGTATCTTAGAGCAATGGCCGGACCTACAAGCTACTGGATTTAAAGGCAACATGTAAAGCCTTCACACAGCCTTAATGTGAACACTGAATGGTGGTCTATGACTAAATGTGGAATAGGAAAAGAAATCCAAATGAGCAAGATTCCGATAGGAAGAAGGAGAACATAGAAAAGAAGTGACGGGTTGAATGATGTTTCTCATTCAATCCCTCTGAGTCAATATTTAACTTTATCTTGAGAAGACAACTTTTCAAGCATGGTATAGGGCCTTAGACAGCATGATTCAACTATTCCGGGAGCAAGAAGCCCTCGGTTAAGGACACGGTGGTCTCATGATCTGCAATGACAGACATGCTGGGCAGTGCTGGAGGTCATTGTCATCGGGTCATTGTGTCATTGCCAGCTTTCAGTTGAGAAGGGGGTGCTTAGAAGGCTCCAGACACTTTCTTTCCAAGGCAGTTACAGACAATGCTCCATTTAACCCTTCCCTTTACCTTGTGAAGAGAGTCCTTTCTCAATGTCCCCAATGGAAACACTATCTTGCAGAGATTAGGTGATTCACACATGTTCATAAAGGTGCCCCACGGAAAACGGTGTTGGCCAATCAGAGCTGTCTGTCTCCACAGCTGTGCTCCTGCCTGAGCACTGTCGTCACACTCATGGAGGGCACCACTTCACCCGTGCTCTGCAACACGGCAGGAGTTCCTGCTCATTACGTGTTAGTGTCCGCTGGACAGAAGTAGCCGTGATGGAGTCCTTGCTTATCCCGTGCCGGGCCTTACAGAGGTGCCATGTAGTAACTGAGTTCTCAGGTGGACATGCCGCTGTCGTTCCTGTACTTCAGGTTTGGAAACCGTGACACAGCCCAGGGTCCAGAGTCCTTGCTTTTCACCTCAATACTACTCATTCTCTGAAGTTCGGGGAGCATTTGAACTGCCTGGGGGTAAAGTGTGCATAGCTGGGGGCCACTGGGAGTTTGTGGTTTAGTGGCTCTAGAGAGGAGCCTGGGGATATGGATTTCTACTAAGTCCCCATGGGATGCTGGTGCTGCCAGTCTGGAGACGACACTTCCAGAGTA